GACATGTTACTTTCCTTCAGAAGACACACAGTGATGTGGGTAATGAAGTTGAGTGGGCTATGTGGTGGGAGGGACCACATATTGGGAGGGGCATGCACTGAGTCATGGCACCAATTTGAGTGCTGGGGTGGCGATTCTTTTCTGTCCTTCATTGGGAGCTAAGATTTTGCACACAGAAGAGGTCATGAAAGGTGGTCTTGTAGACAAGACCTCCATCTTTAACTCTAGGCTAAAAACTTATCTGTTTAGTCAAGCCTTTGGGAATCTGGGAATGTTGGTGATGAACTAACTATCTGTCCCCCTTATTTACGATTTCACCGTAGACCATACTTCTGAAGAACCTCACATACAGTCTTCTGTGTGCTTGTCTAAGCTCCTGAAACAGTTTAGGTTGTTGGACATGTGGAGAGTAAAGAATTCTGTAGCCAGGCAGTATACATGGGTTAAGGTCTCTGATAATAGAATTAGTGCTGCTCGGCTAGACCAAATTTATGTGTCTACACATCTTAGCAGTAGAATCACTCAGGCTTTCCTTTTTCCTGTGGGGTTTTCTGATCACCACTTGGTTTCTATCACGGTGAGCTTGTCATGCATTTCCAGTGCACCTTCATATTGGCATTTTAATGTGAAGCTGTTGCATGATGCAGTTTTTTGTGCAAGGTTCATGTGCTTTTGGGAACAGTGGAAGACCAAAAAGGTTAAATTTGAAAATTTGAGACAGTGGTGGGAAATGGGCAAGGTACAGGTAAGAATGTTTTGTCAACAGTACACAGCCAATTCAAGTACAAGAGCAAGACTGACTGTCCAGGCTCTTGAGACGGAGATACGCTCTCTGGAGCTTGGACTGACTGCTACTCATGATGCTGTTATGTTGGGAAAGTTGCAGCAGAAGAGGAAGGAGCTCAGCGCCTACTTGAATGAGAGGGTGAAGGGGGCCTTGGTGAGATCCCATTTTACTACACTTGCAGACATGGATGCCTTCTTCTTTAATTTGGAACATTCACTAGTACAGCATAAGCAGATTATAGGTTTCTCAGGTTATAGATCTTATTCCAGATTTTTGTATATTTATATTTGTATATATGCCTGTAGATATATATATACATATATATATATATATATATATATATATATATATATATATGTGTGTGTGTGTGTGTGTGTGTATCTGTAGTATGATTATTAATATGATTATTATTGCCTAAACCTAAAAGAAGAAGTCAGAGTAACCTTGATTTATTTAAAGTCTACAGACCAATGCAGGGGAGAGACAGACACTTGCACCAAGGATGCTTTAATCAAAAGAGAACTTTATTGGGTAAATATGACACTGCAGTTGGATAACTTTAAAAATAAACAACAAAAAAAATATATATACATACACCCACACACACACACACACACACACACACACATATATATATATATATATATATATATATACATATATATATATATAAAATAAAAAAATTAAAAAAATAATAAACTAAACAAACGAATAGCTCAGGTAACGTGATTCACAGCTTAAAATGATATGAGAATGTGGTTTAGGGTGCTCCTCGGGAAAGCGACTGGAAACTTAAGGGTAAAAGAGCCTATAGGGAGAATTAACCTAAACTAATCCATCTAAAAGAAAATTCTGATTGGATAAAATAGGTCGAACCTTGACTGCACAAATGAAAGATAGCTAGCCTTACTTGGAGTCGAGGGAGCGGATTTCGAGTCCTCTGAGATGGGTCGTTTGGGAACCGGCTGGAGCTCACGCGCTGGGTTTTCCTTCGCTAGCCCGGGAGGCTTGGTGGAGTCATCGCACAGGCGATGTGCCGCAGTCACTGACCAGCTTTGGGCATCTCGGCTACTTGAGGATGGAGCTTGGAGCCTGGGCAGTCTTTCTGTGATGAATTGGCTCGCAGGTGAAGGCATGGCTCTGGGTGAGATTCCGGGTCTCTAGGTTGCTTCTTGGGGCTGCTTGAGGATGGAGCTCGCAGCTCGGTGGTCCTTCTAGTCAATCAGCCTGCAGATTGAGATGTGGCTCAAAGGGGATTCTGGGTCTTTGCACGGCTGGACTACCTCAACTCACAGGCGACGGTAGTGGTTGCAGTCAAACTTCAAGGCTGCTAACCTAAGATAACTACCTATCTTCGTCAGAGCTGAAACTTGAAGAAATTCCTTACTTGGCCATGTAAAGAAATCTTCACTTTCCTCTCTAAAGTTGGGTTAAACTTAGAAGTACAACAAAAGACAAACTACACAGACAACAAAAATGCTCAGATCTTCTGCTCTGGAATGCGGGGGTGGAGCCAAGGTGTTGATACGTTCTCTCACCCAACGGGTAATTAGCTATTCCTAGTTTTCAATTCTGATTGGTAGTGCTTTCACTGTGAGCACCATCCCAGGGAAACTCCCTTCTTTGTTCCCTCTAGGTCTCAAAACTTTTAATTCGATTAGAACAAAACAGTTTCAGATTATTCAATTAAGTTCCCAAAACCCACAACAGAACGAATAGAACATTCATTTGTAAACATGCAGTTTTTACCCATGTTACCTGAAAACAACGATGGTAAAAACAGAAACAATAGGTAACCCTATAGGTAATCCTTTGGGTGTCGTCTCGTTGCAAGAAAATTTCAACACAGTAAAATCCTTACTTCAGAAGAATAAACTCAAGTAAAGAAGAAGAGTAAAATAAAAAGGCTAAATAAAACAAGTGAAAAAAAATCTAGGTGCGTACTTAATGTTCTAAAGTCACTACTTGTTGGTTACTTAAATGGTTACTTCAGTAAGTTGTCAAAAGGCTATCCTACACATTCCTAGCGTCTGGTAAAAGAAAAAGAATACACATTTAAGTAATTGAGTACACAAATACAAGCATCATCACTTGCAAATTAGATAAGGTTGATAGTCAAACATGCATATGAATGAGTTTTCCTGGGGTCCTTTGTGAGCAACAGTCCTTATGGTGGTGGTGTGGTAATTCTCATTTTCACCCCTTGGGGGTGCTATGGGTCCATGCTCAAGACCCTCAGGGAATTCAGAAAGCTTGAATTTCGGTCCTGATTGTCATATCAGCTTGAAGCAGAGTTTCAGCCATAGTGTTCACTACATATCGATGGTCTGTCTTCGCCTGATGTCTGATGTCACAGACATGTGTAAACATGCAGTGGATTTTTATTCTGCAGAACTCAAGTGCACAGGAACCAGTCTTAGTGCATTCCTGATAGATCAATAATGGACAACCTGTTCCTTGTGCGAGATGTATTGGATTGCTGAAAGGGTTCTGATAAAAGTGTTGGGCTGGTTTCTCTTGATCAAGAGAAGGCCTTTGACCGCGTTGATCACTATTACCTTTTTAATGTGCTTAAGGCTTTTGGCATCGGGGATGTTTTTTTAAGTTTGGTGTGGTTACTGTATTCTGGTGCTGCATGTTTGGTTAAGGTGGGGGTTGGGTTGAGCAGACCAATTCCAGTCACAAGAGGTATTAGGCAAGGCTGTCCTTTATCAGGTCAGCTATACAGTCTAGCTATTGAACCGCTACTCGTCTGTCTAAGGAAGAGATTAGATGGCTTTCATGCTGCACAAGGATTTAGGGGTCCAGGGGTAGCACTTTCTGCCTATGCTGATGATGTAACATTTTTATCAAAAATAGTCAAGATGTTAAGGTTTCAGTTGAGTCCCTCAACTTGTATGAGAAGGCGTTTTCTGCCAAAGTTAACTGGGAAAAGAGTGAGGCTCTTTGGGTAGGCCAGGGACAGATGGAAGGGCTACCACATCTGCCTGGGACCTTGAGGTGGCGTAGAGAAGGGCTGAAAGTTTTGGGGGTCTTCTTGGGGACAGATGATTTTCAGAAGCAGAACTGGGAGGGTGTAGTGGAGAGAGTGTGCACCAAATTGTCTCGATGGAAATGGTTGCTACTCCATTTGTCCTACAGGGGGAGGGTGTTGGTGGCAAATAACTTGGTCGCCTCCACCCTGTGGCACAGATTCAGTGTTTTACAGCTGCCTCCAGGACTGGTACAGGAGGTGCAGAGGATGTTGGTGACTTTCTTCTGGTCAGGCCAACACTGTGTTCGATCAGCTGTCCTATACCTGCCAGTACAAGAGGGAGGACAAGGTCTGGTGGATATCAGGTCCAGGATCATGCTCTTTCGTCTTCAAGCTGCTCAACGACTACTGTTCCATGGAGCAATTGCTTGGAAGAATACTGCCACTGTACTTTTAAGACGAGCTGGGGGAATGGGGTTTAATAAACACCTGTTCCTTATGACAACGCCAGAGGTTGTGTTGGCGGGACTTACACCTTTTTATAGATCGATGCTGGAAGTATGGAAGGTGTTCTCTGTCTCAAGGATTGCTGATATGCCTGCCGGTATGTGGTTGTTGGAGGAGCCATTGTTCTTTAACTCCTTTTTACCATCAGCTCTTTTATCTTCAGCAGTTTTGTGCTCTCGTTTGGTGGCTGCAGGATACACGAAGCTGGGCCACCTTATGAGTACTGGAACAGCGGCTGTGAGTGAGAGGACGGGGATCAGGTCCGGTCGTCTGCTGGATCAGGTGATGGCAGAGGTACAGAGGTCACTGTTAGCTGACTACCTGAAGTTCCTAAATGACCCATCTGTCACCGCCCAGTGGAGGCAAGGCTGTCAGCATGATTTTCCTGAACTGACTGTTAGCCCTGCTGTGGAGTGGACTGAGGATGAGAGGTGTCTCCTTTCCTTCACCACTCCAGTACTAGGTGCCTTCTCCTTGTTTGGGAGGAAGACATTGTACTTGGTATGTGTGAAGGTGTCCCAGGCACACTTTGTGGATGGTGTTTTATTGACAAGGTGGTCTGAGTTGTTTGACGCTGACTCCTCCCCGAAGGGCTGCTGGCGGGTCCTGTATAAGCGTCCGATTGATAAACGGACAGCTGACCTCCAGTGGAGGATCGTGCATGGAGCAATAGCTACAAACAGACATCAGGTGCACCTCGATCCAAGTGTTGGGGAGGGCGGCCTCTTTTGCCCATAAATTGAGTCCCTCTTTTACTTATTTGTGCAATGGGTGATCTGTTCTCCTTGTTAACTGAATGGTTCTCGTCATTGGGTGAGGCTTTCTCCTTTCAGCTTTTTATTTTTGGGCCCAAATACACAGTAAGGAGGAAAAATGTCTTAGTTTTACTAAACTTTTTATCTGGTACAGCAAAGCTAGCCATCTGGAAGACAGGGAAGAACCAGATGCTGGGTCAGGGAGCGGTGGGCGTGGTAGCTGTGTTCCTGGGGTTGGTGGCTGCACGACTGAGAATGGAGCATGCTTACTATAATTTGGTGGGGAAGTTGCCAGAGATCCTGAGCATTTGGGGTATTAATGAAGTCCTGAGGAAAGCCAAAGCCCCAGCCCCCATCATGTGCACCTTCTACAGAGGTACCATTGAGAGCATCCTGACCAGCTGCATCACTGTGTGGTATGGCACCTGCACCGTGTCCTGCCGCGAGACACTCCAGCGCATCGTGAGAGATATACAGCTCCCGTCTCACCCGAAAAGCCCTCTGCATGGCAGGTGATCCCACTCACCCACTACACAGCTTCTTCAGCCTGCTGCCATCAGGAAGGAGACTGCGGAGTCTCCGGGCCAGGACCAGCAAACTGGGGGACAGCTTCATCCACCAGGCTGTCAGGAAGCTCAACTCTCTTCCTCCTTTGCCCCCCCTCCCCCACTTCTGCCCCCCTACACACAAAGTTTGAACCAAAGCACAGGTTCCTGACCCCCACTCCCCAATACTGAGCACATTCTCAGGGACGGTTATGCACTCATCACTTTAACTGCTCCATAAGCTCATCCTATTGCACTACTGTTTCCATTTGCACTAATATACCCATAGACCTTAATCTGTATGTGCCTATGTCACTTTAATGTTAATTTCAGAACCTTCTTATATTTATATTATTTTTATCATTTTATTTTTCTACAATTAGTGTTTATTTTTATGATTAGTGTTTAGTGTTTACTTAGTGTCTATTTAAATTCACACTGTCTACCATCTATTTAATGTTATTGCTACACCATGGGGTCTGAGAGTAACGCAATTTCAATGCTCTGTATGTCCTGTACATATTGTACTATTGACAATAAAAAGCTGACTTGACTTGACTATGCACAGTTGATGATGTTGGCAGTCTATGGTTGGCATTTTGATTGTGGGTGTTGTTTTAAATTTATGTTGCAGTTATTCTTTATTTTTTCATTTTTTTTCTAACATGTGAGATTTTGAGTGACAACCTTGGTATGTTCGTAGGTTTTTGATTGTCTCAATAAAAGAGTTTTTAAAATTCAAATTCTCTCTTTCTCTCTGTCTCTTTCTCTCTCTGTCTGTATCTCTCTCTCACTCTCTGTAGAGGTTATTCTATCTCACACAGACTCACTGAGGATTCAGGATAAACCCAGAATCCAGCGTAGAGTGGTTCAGTGAATGTGGTGGTGAATGTGTGTAGATGGGTCAGTGTGTGTGTATTAGGGGAGATGGTGTAGAAGGACAGAGTGTTGGACCCCCAGTCCAGATACACTCCTACTGTGTTAGGGGGGGATGGGGTGGCAGGTAGGACAGTTCTCTGTTTATTGTGATAGAGAGAGTAACTGTTATTAGAGCAGATCAGACTCCAGGAGTGATTATTGATTCCAAACACACAGTCTTCACTGTGTCCTTTCCTCCTGATTCCTCTGTATGATACTGATATATAAACCAATCCGCTCCACTGAACCTCCCAGTAACAGCGTCCAGTCAGACTCTCCACACTCAGAACCTGAGACCAGTGATCAAATCTGTCTGGATGATCTGGATAACGCTGATCATCTCTCACCCACTTCACTTTTCTGTTCCTCTCAGACAGAGAGAGATTTCTGTACACTGTGTTTGGATCCAGAGTGAGATTAACAGCATCTGTACACACACACACACAGAGACAGAAGAGACACAACACAGAGAAAAATCAATGTGTGTGTGTGTGTGTGACTGTAAGATATGGGTGTGTATATGTGTTTGTATGATTATATATATATATATATATATATATATATATATATATATATATATATATATATATATATATATATATATATATAGTGTATGTGTTTGTGTGTATAGTGTATTATGGGTGTAAAGTGTGTTTGTATGTGTGGGTATAGTCTGTGTGTGTGTGTGTGAGTGTATGTATGTATGTATGTATGTGTGAGTGTGAATGTGTTTGTGTGTGTGTTACATTTCTTAAGTCCTGGTTTCGTCCTGATCTTTCCTCCATGATCCACCCTGAAGAACAAACACACACATTTATACATTCAATAAACTTCATGTCAAATCAAAACTAAACTAAAATAAAGACTAAAACAGATCATTACAGTATAAAACACTCTTCAGACCTTACAGTTCAAATAAAACTAAACTAAAATAAAGAGTAAAACATCAAACTGATCAATCTCACTGTTAGGCTAGTTAACTCTAAATCGCACTGATAGGCTAGTTAGGTGTAAATCACATTGCAAGGCTAGTTAGATCTAAATCACACTACTAGGCTAGTTAGCTGCAAATCACAGTGTTAGGCTAGTTAGCTGTAAATCACACTGCTCGGCTAGTTAGCTCTAATTTACACTGCTAGGATAGTTAGCTGTAAATCACATTACAGGGCTAGTTAGCTGTAAATGACAGTGTTAGGCTAGTTAGCTGTAAATCACAGTGTTAGGCTAGGTAGCTATAAATCAAACTACTAGGTTAATTATCTCTAAATCAAACTCCTAGGCTAATTAGCTCTAAATCACATTGCTAGGCTAGTTAGCTGTAAATCAAACTACTAGGCTAATTAGCTCTAAATCAAACTACTAGGCTAATTAGCTCTAAATCACATTACTAGGCTAGTTAGCTATAAACTAAACTACTAGGCTAATTAGCTCTAAATCACATTGCTAGGCTAGTTAGCTATAAATCAAACTGCTAGGCTAATTAGCTCTAAATCACATTGCTAGCCTAGTTAGCTATAAATCAAACTACTAGGCTAATTAGCTCTAAATCAAACTACTAGGCTAATTAGCTCTAAATCACATTACTAGGCTAGTTACCACTAAATCAAATTGCTAGGCTCGTTAGCTATAAATCAAACTGCTAGGCTAATTAGCTATAAATCAAACTGCTGGGCTAATTAGCTACAAATCACACTGCTAAGCTAGTTAGCTCTAAATCAAACTGCTAAGCTTGTTAGCTCTAAATCACTTTGCTAGGCTAGTTACCTCTAAATCACATGTCTAGGCTAGTTAGTATTTGTAACTCAATTCAAAGAGAGCAGCCTAGCTTAGCACAACACAACCTAAGCTAGCACAGCTAGATGTTTTAGCCTAGCCATTTTTATTTTACTTATTTTTATATATACATGTACATTTTAATTTTTCTATTTTTACTTCTGTTTTTTAATTCTCATTTTTATACTTTTTACTTTTTACACTTGTATTTTTTATTTTATAATGCTTTAATTATTTTATTTTATTATTCTTTTTAGTTAATATATCTGTGAAATGCTGAGTGAGGAGGACTGGGAAATTCAGACGCTCAGTAAAGGCCATCAGTGTCTGGGCAACTTCCACGCCGACCAGAGGTCACCTGAACCAGGCCAGACCAGCCAGTTACACCGGAGACTTTCATGGTCTCCCCCGCCTGTGGAGTCTGGGAACGCCAGCAACGCAGAAGACGGCCTGGATGCCCACCACCACCTCAGTCTGAACTCACCACCAGCAACAGATTCAAAGTACTGAGCTCTCTCTCCTCCTCTGCTTCTCCCTCAACCAACGTTTTAGTAATCGGAGACTCGATCGTGAGGAACGTGAACTCGGCTCCAGCTAAAGGTGAAGCCTCTGTTTTATCCCTCTCTGGTTGGATACTGGTTCTGTCATTGTGCACACGGAAGTAAACAACACACGAGATCGAGAGAGCGAAGGTTTAAAGGACCATTTTACAGCACTTTTGCGTAGCGTACAGGAACAAACAACAGCCAGAGCTGTAGTTTCTGGCTCTCTGCCAACACTTAGAAGAGGAAGAGAGATTTTTAGCAGACTCTATGTGCTAAACAAGTGGCTGAAAAGGTGGACTGAGGTCAATAACTTGGGTTTTACTGAGAGTTGGAACATTTTTGGGAAAGTCCTTCTCTTTATCACAGAGACAGACTCCACCTAAGTCTCCACTGATCTACATTTTTATCTTCGAACTACAAGAAAGGAATCAGTAAAATGTGATGTTAAAATAGAGAAGTAAAGAAATCAAACAGCAGCTCATCTGGTACTTCTCTATTCAAACTGTAGTAAGCAGTCGAAATGCAGTACGAACTTCAGGAACTAAAGGAATAAATAATTAAAGTAAGTTGAAGTTTGTAAGTTTGTTGCACCGTAACAGAGTCAGATAGAGATTTTAGAACAGCACTGCTGAATGTAGGAACACTAACTGTCTCACTAACCAGCACTGTCAATCATCTTATTTCTGAACAGAAACTGGATTTTATGATATTGAAACCTGGCTTAGTTCAGACGGGGCAGTTTCCCTGATTGAAACTGCTCCACAGAATTATGATTTTATCCATACTGTATGGAAAGCAAGAAGGGAGGTGGTCTAGCTGTGGTTTTTCCAGTATTTTTAATTGTATTAAAAACAATTAAAAACAGTATTTTTAAAATGCATTTGGAACAGTTTCTTCTTTTGAATATCTTGTGGTTCTACTTAAAGGTCAGGAACCAGTGTTGCTGGTGGTTGTTTATCGTCCATCCAAATACACACCTCCTTCTTACCAGAACTGTCTGAACTACTGTCTGTGTAACTAATCATGATCGGATTCTACTGACGGTGATTTTAATGTTCACATTGACACAGAAATAGTCCAACACACACTCACTGTCACACTTTAGATTTAGTCTGTCATGAGGTTTATTTATTAATGTAACTGAAATCCTTGATATCACGATCTCTGATCACTACTGTGGGTTTTTAGTATGTCTGCTTCTGTTGGCAAAAAAGATGGAAATACTAAAATGAAGAAAAAGCGGTATTTTAATATCAACAGCAGCTGCTTTTTGTAACGCTCTACATTACAAACCTCCTCTACATGTTAACTCAACAGTGCATGACATGTTCAACAATTTTAACTGTAAACTAAGATCTGTTCTAGATAATGTTGCACCAGAAAAGACTAAAAAGAAGTCCTTGACCACAAAAATGCCATGGAAAAATGAATAGATAAACCCATTGAAAAAGGACGCAAAGCAGAACAGAAGTGGAGGAAAAACTAAACTAACTATTCACTATGAAATTCTTAAAAATCATATTAATATTTATAACAATGCAGTACAGAGACAGAAATACTATTCAAAACTTATTAATGACAACAGACAATTTATATTTTTATTTTAATAATTTAATTCTATTTTTAATAATTGATCGCCTGTTAAATCCTAAATTAACCAATGATTATCATTGAGACTTCAACATCAAAATGTAATGATTTTGCATTATGTTTAATACAAAAATCACTAACATTCAGTCACATTCAGTCACTCCAAAACTACCAATAGACTCTATTTTTATTCAACAGCAAAACACTATAAATAGTTTTAAAAAGATAACTGAGACAGAACCTTAGAAAGTTGTCATGCAGTTAAATTCCTCCACCTGTGGTTTAGATCCTGTTCCAACAGCATTTTTAAAGAAGTATTTGACACCCTTTGTACCAGGTGTGCTGGACATTGTAAACTGTTCTTTGGAAACCGGCACTTTTTTGGAACTTTGTTAAACTGGTTCTCTACATATTTAACTGGAAATTAGTATTTTGTAAACATAGGTGAACATATCTCTGATAAGCATGATATTCTCTGTGGTGTACCACAAGGCTCTGTACTAGGTCCACTTATGTTTTCTCTGTATATGCTGCCACTGGGTCAGATTATAAGGAAGCAGGGCATCAACATTCATAGTTATGCAGATGATATACAGCTGTATATAACTGTGGCTCCAAATGTCAGTTCAGTAGATAAGCTCGCTATCTGTCTGTCCAGCATAATTAGCAAAGACAGAAATAATTATAATTAGTAGTGAAGCAAAGAGGAAAAAGATGATTGAAAGACTCGGAAATCTGGCTCTACAAATAAAAACTGAAGGTAGGAATTTTGGTGTAACTCTAGACTCTGATTTAACTTTTAAAAGCATATATTAATAATATTAACAAAACTGCTTTTTATCATTTAAGGAATGTAGCACAAGTTCGACCTGATCTCTGTCTGCAAGATGCTAGAAATTGGTCCATGCTTTTGTGTTTTCTCGACTTGACTACTGTATTGCTTTGTTCACAGGACGTCCTGCAAGTACAACCAACAAATTACAACTTGTGCAAAACACAACAGCGAGAATTTTAACACAAACTAGAAAACAGGATCATATTAGACCAGTTTTAGCATCACTGCTCTGGCTGCCTGTCTCTTTTAGAATCCACTACACAATATTACTACTAATTTTTAAATCTCTTAATGGTTTAGCACCTTCATATGTCTCTGAGTGCTGATAGAGGATGTTCCTAATCCAGCTTTAAGATCATCCAGTGCTGCCTGCTCCATGTTCCACGCATGAAACTTAAAAAGAGCAGACAGGCAGCGTTTTGTTTTTAATGCACCAAAGATCTGGAACACATTACTGATAAACATCCGTCAGGCTCCTCCAGTCCTCCAGTGTTTTAAAAACCGGTTAAAAACATATTTCTTTGTTTTAGCGTTTTATTCGTTTTTCGTTGTTTTCTTTGTTTTTACTGTAATATTACTATTTCTTTTATGTTGTTAATTGCATTTTTATTGTCTTTTTTCTTTTTAGTTTTATCTTGTGCTTTATTAACTGTATTTACTAATATATCCATTTTCTGCTATTTATTATTTGTTTATTATATTTTGTTTTTATTTTTGATTATCTTTTTCCTTTTCTTTCTCTGTTGTTTTTACATTGTATTGTAAAACACTTTGAGCTGCATTTTTAATGTATGAAAGGTGCTATATAAATAAACATTATTATTATCATTATTATTATTAGTAGTAGTAGTAGTAGTAGTATTCAGTTGTTTCTGTGTGTAAATAACAGTTAATCTACACTTTTCCTTTACAACAAACAGCACAAAAGGACCTAAAGCCAAACACAGAGTCTCCTCTCACAGTGAGAGTTCAGTTTAATGTACCAAAGGCACTGGTTGTTGGTGCCGCACTCAGAGATGTGTGATGAGTGTGTTGGTGAAGAAGGAGACACAGGGGAGGCTACAGAATAACACAAATAACACACATATATATTTTAGATTAACAGAACAACAACATTAACAACATTAAACCACAACAACTTCCCTTTTTACAGGGGCGGAGCCACAGCGCAGCTCTGCATACCATGCCTATAAAGCTCCTTCCCAAAACCATTGCTGTGACAGTATTATATGAACAATAAGAACACAGGATAGTGAGGAGCTCACAGCATTAATTCTTAAGTCTGGAGCTGTAACACGGTCATTATAATGAAGTTTATGATTAGTTTGTGAAACTGTGAAACAAAGCTATTTCCTGATTTTTCCACTGACAATAACAGAACTATACATGAGAATTGTCCCATTTTCCTGTTTCTCAGTACTGTTTCTTAAATAAAAATGGAATGATTCAAAGATACACAGACCTCTATAGCACAAAAAAGACTTCAGTCATATGTAGAGCCATCTACAGCATATTGTCTATCAATATGAAGAACGAATTCACCATGAAAAGAGTTTTTTAATCATGCAAATCGTTCTTTTTGTGTTCCTAGTTCAATACAGAACCACTGTCTTTACTAAAGGACCCTTGAAGAACCACCTTCTTTTTGTGAGAAGGTTTGATAGCGAGTGTGAGAGAGTTTGATAGTGAGTGTGAGAGAGTTTGATACTGAATGTGAGAGAGTTTGGTAGCGTGTGTGAGAGAGTTTGATAGCAAGTGTGAGAGAGTTTGATAGCGAGTGTGAGAGTTTGAAAATGAGTGTGAGAGAGTTTGATAGTGAGTGTGAGAGAGTTTGATAGTGTGTGTGAGAGGTATTGATAGTGAGTGTGAGAGTTTGATAGCGAGTGTGAGAGAGTTTGATAGTGAGTGTGAGAGAGTTTGATAGTGAGTGTGAGAGGGTTTGATAGCGAGTGTGAGAGAGTTTGATAGTGAGTGTGAGAGGCAAGTTAGAATTTTGGACTAAATGGCCTCTCATGAGTCTGTAAGAAGTTAAACTCAGTGTGGAAGATGTGTTCAGTCATTCTGAACCACCTTCTTTTTGTGAGAAGGTTTGATAGCGAGTGTGAGAGAGTTTGATAGTGAGTGTGAGAGAGTTTGATAGTGAGTGTGAGAGAGTTTGATAGCGAGTGTGAGAGAGTTTGATACTGAATGTGAGAGAGTTTGATACTGAATGTGAGAGAGTTTGGTAGCGAGTGTAAGAGAGTTTGATTCTGAATGTGAGAGAGTTTGATAGCGAGTGTGAGAGAGTTTGATAGCATGTTTGAGAGAGTTTGATAGCATGTGTGAGAGAGTTTGATAGTGAGTGTGAGAGGTTTGATAGCGAGTGTAAGAGAGTTTGATAGTAAGTGTGAGAGGCAAGTTAGAATTTTGGACTAAATGGCCTCTCATGAGTCTGTAAGAAGTTAAACTCAGTGTGGAAGATGTGTTCAGTCATTCTGTAAGAAGTTAAACTCAGTGTGTAAGATGTGTTCAGTCTGTAAGAAGTTAAACTCAGTGTGTAAGACGTGTTCAGTCTGTAAGAAGCTAAACTCAGTGTGTAAGACGTGTTCAGTCTGTAAGAAGCTAAACTCAGTGTGTAAGATGTGTTCAGTCGCAATTCAAAAAGAAACACATATACCGTAATACATTACAGTCAGTAATGTGGATAAATACAGTCTGTGTAGAGAGACAGTAAGTCAGTAACTCACTGTAGTTTCTCCAGTTTACAGTGTGGATCCTCCAGTAGATCAGACAGCAGCTTCACTCCAGACTCTCCTGGGTGATTATAAGTCAGATCCAGTTCTCTCAGGTGGGAGGGGTTTGATTTCAGAGCTGAAGCCAGAGAAGAACAGCCTTCATCTGTAACCATACAGCCAGACAATCTGCAGAAAGGAAAGAAAAAGAGGGACAGATGGCATTTACATACAGCAAAATCCAGCGGCAAATTTTCAAAAAAATCTATTTAAAAATGGGTTGCAAATGACAAAGATAGCCCCACTGAAGCCCACCCGCTGGATGTGCAAAGATGTGCAAAAAAAATTTTTACATTTTACAATTTCTAAACGGATTTCTGTGAAGCTGCTTTGTGACAACATCAGTTGTAAAAAGCGCTATACAAATAAATTTGATTTGATTTGATTTGAATTTTCATTAATATTAGACATGTCCCATCCAATACATCCTTGCACTTCCTGGCCCTGGGAAGTTTAAAGACAGCAAAAACAGGACAGAGCAACAAATAACAGGTATAAAGATTAAAAGACTGGTATCTGTAACAATGTATCCGCTATCACATTGTCAGTACCTTTGACAAATATCAAGAACATAGGAGAGGGTGTTACCAGTAAAGGTGGTGACACATCACAGTATGCACACCCCCCAGCCAGGCTTTTTAAAAAAGAAAATAAATAAAAAAATAAATAAATAACAGGCTATTCTTAGCACCTCAGAGATGCCCGAGTCAAGTGCTTCACATACGATCATCAGTAAAAAATAACAAACTAAAACAAAAAAGGGCCTACATGACCAAATGGACATCCTGCGGTACCTACCAAGGGAGAAGGCTTCCAACACACAAAATATGAAACTAACTGGCAACAAAACTAATTATGAGCCCAATGCTAACAGGAAATATTTTTAATTTAACCTTACCACACTCACCCCACCTCCTCAAAAAATTCTAGCAAACCCCAGCGAGGATATATTAGCCAGGAAAAAGCGCAGCCAAAAACAAACAAGTCCCCTCACTGTTACAGACCAGCCTCCAGCCAGTCCATAACAAACAGTTGAGGAAGATGATGAGGCTCCAGCTATCCACATCGGAAAGCCTTTTAAAGAGACCCAAACACCTGCACACTGGTGTGTCTCAGCCAATTAGGTCCAAGCTCTGCCTCCCAATTTCACCTGCAACACATTCAGGACAAAACAAACCAAATGGCCCAAAGGATCATCACAATATTTATCAACACTCTGACACAGAACAGGACGGAACAAAAACACAAACTGACTCAACATCTTCACATCTTCACACACATCTTCACAATTACAACATGATAAAAATCTCATTATGATTCAGAGCTTCAGGAGATTTGATCAGCAAAAAAATTTGTGAAGCAGAAACATTTTCCTCCTGGAAGCATCACAGAGTTAATATATAGATAAATAGGCATCCAGGAAATTACATAAACACCATTAAAGTAAACCAAATTTTAATCAGAAGGAAACATTACCTGTGGCCTCATCACAAAAGCCAATGTCTGAGACATTTAAAACAACATCTAGATGAACCAGAGGCATTTTGGAAGCAAGAGCTGTTTGCTGATCAAGGATGAAAAATGGAACTCTTTGGCCACCAACATTGGGGTAGTAACTAAAAAAAGAATAAGCCGCTAATTACTTCTTTAAAAATTAAATGTGATTAAATTACTTATTACTACCTGAAAAAGTAATCTCACTACACTTTACTTGTATGTTACTCTGTAACCTATTTCTGCTCCTCCGTCTATTTCACCCTGGGTTGTGACAGCTTTCAAACCCATAGTTCCACAGTTCACATCTGCCTCAGAGTGACTGAGCTTCTGCTTTTTGAAGAGTGTTCTAAGTTTGTTCCTTTCACTTCTCTAATTTTCTCTGTTAGTTTAATAATTTTTTGAGTTCAGCTCTGCACTTGAGTTTGTGTTTGTCTACAGTAGGTGACATGCCTTGTTGTACATTGGTCTCTAGTATTAGAGGCCTAAGTTTGATTCTTGCACAGGGCCAGTCAGCTCCATTACAGGAGCTCACTCTGCTGGCCTGAGCACTGAGACATTTAGCTTAAATAAAGTTCAAACGCTGTTCAAATTCAAACACTGAATTTTCATTACTTTCTTTCATCTTTCTCCTCCTTCTAATCTAATGTCCTATAAATGTCCCATCTCTATCTTCAGCCCAGGTGACTGAGAGGAAGGAGAACACTGTTGTTTTCCTCTGATTTTGCATTTTTGTCACACTAAATGCATAGGATACTCATATAAAATGTAATAAGACAAAGAGAACTTGAGGAAAAACAAAGAAGTTTTCAGAAGTTCATTTAAAAAAGTAACTGCCCCTAAACTTAAATAATTGGTTGAGCCATCTTTTGCAAGAACAACTGTAACCAAACAGCCAAGTCATTTGGTCCACTCTGTTTTTGCTTAAATTCAGCCAATGCTTTTGGGCATGAGGTGTCACAGCATGTCAATGAGTTTAAGTCAGGACTTTGACTAGGCCACTCAATAACCTTAATCTTGTTTGAGCCATCCAAAGATGGACTTACTCTTGTGCTTGGGATTGTTGTCTTGCTGCATAACCCAATTATGCTTGAACTTCAGATCATCATTGATGACTAAACATTCTCCTGTAGGATCCTGTAGTTAAGAGCAGAATTCATGGTTCTGTTAATTATGGCAAGTCACTGAGGCCCTAAAGTAGCAAAGCACCCCCACACCATCACACTACCACCTCCATGTTTCACAGTTGGTATGTTTTTCTTATTGTGGAATGCTGACTTAGCTTTAAACCAGATGTCATGGCACCCCTGTTTTCCAAAATGTTCCACTTTTGACTCATTAATCCACAAAACCCTATTTCAAAAGGTTTGGGGGTCATCAAGGCATTTTTTGGCGAATGTGAGGCAAGCCTGTATGTTTGTCTTGGTTAGCCATGGTTTTTGCCTTGCAGCTCTCCCACTGATATCATTTTTCTCCAGTCTCTTTCTAAAGAAGTCATGGATGCTTATGTAAGACGAGTGAGGCCTGCAGTTTCTTAGATGGTTGTCTGGATTCTTTCGTGACTTCCTGGATGAATTGTCATTTGGAGGAATTTTGGTAGGCAGACCACTTTCTAAGAAGACTGACCACAGTTCCAAGTTTTTTCTATTTGGAGATAATGGCTCTCACTTTAGTTCACTGAAGTCCCTGTGCATCAGACATGGCTTTGTAACCAGACTGATTTCACATCTTTTCTGGAATTTCTTTTGATCATGGTGTAGTTGCTGCTTGTTGAGATATTTTGGCCTACATAACATTGTTGGAGTTATGTAAGTGGTGTTTAGATTCAACAGGGCTGGGAGTGATCAAATCTGGGTGTGTCTATTTTAATTCATCCCAAATATCAAGTAAATATCATTAACTGACTTAATGAGTAACTCAGTGGGCAATTACCTTTTCACATAGAGCCAGTTGGTGTTAGATAACTGTTTTCCCCTAATAAATGAAATCACTTAAAATCAGAGTTTTACATATAAGCATGTTCCTCTTATGTCATGTTATGTTTTGTGTGGTTATCTAAAACAGTTTAGTGTGACGAATATTCAAAATTGAGGAAATCAGAAAATACTTTTCCACAGCACTGTACATATGTAAATGTTCGTGTTTATATTATATTAATAGCCAATACATATTAAACTAAATGCTTAAACAGAGCTTAGGTGCAACAAAGTAGTGAAATATAGCAAATTGAATGAATGCACTTTAGAGTCCTGTACTGTAAAAATGGCGTTTCCCATAATGTTGAAAAGAAAGTAACATGCCTGCCTTTTTGAGTGTGCAGAATCTCAAACTGTGAGTTAACAGATCAATTCTTTTTGTCTTAGATCCTGTTAGCTTTTTATAGAAATGTAATAAAATCTCAGTTTTAGGGCAGCCACGTTAATGTAAGTTAAAACAAATCATTTTACAGTGAATAGGGGAGCGTATCACCCAATAAGTTTCTAATAATTTCTTTTTTTTTAGCTTATTTTGCACAAATATGTTACAGATTTACTACACAGCTTATCAAAAAGTGTAATTGTAATCGTATTAGGTATCACACATCCACCTGGCTCTGAGACACACTCGGACTCACCTGATTCCTGACCTTCCCTTGCGCTCCAATCAGGGCTCTCACTCACCAGAGTACTGATTCTGTTCACCTGTTTTGTGTGTCATATGATCCTTTTAGTTTAGTTTATAAGCTCGGGCTTTAGCAGAGACACTTTGCGAGGTATTGTATCACTTTTGATCTACTGAGCGTTCTATTGTTGTTTGACTCCTGTCTTTGACCATTACTGCCTATATTCTCGACTGTTCCGTTTTGCCTGACCCTTTGGATTGTTTGCCTTTCATGATATCACTGTTTATGACATTTTTGCCTGTTTTCTCGAATCTGCCTTTTTGCCTGACCCTTTTGGATTTTTGCCTGTTGTTATGTTTTTGTACTGGTTGTGTTTTCTGGATTTGACCCACGTTTGTTTTTTGACCACGAAACTGGACTTTGATCCTATCAGTAAAGCCTCCTTTGATCTATTTAACCATGAGTGTCTGACTCTTTCTGGCACGTTACATTAGAATATTTTACCTAATTGTGCTCCAATTACTCTGTTGTTGAGATGCTGTAAACAGACATTATTCACATTGTATTAGGATTTGGGTGAGGATTAGAACCTGGGTTAAATTCATCGCCAGGGTGAGGGTTAGTTTTAGGCTTTGGGATGATGTTATGGTTAGGTTTAGGGTCAGGGTTAGTTTTACGTAGATTGAGCTGAATTTATATTTATGCTTGTATAATTAATTAAATGTAAATTGAATGAAAGATAGGCATCTACAGCGGGCTCTCCAAATAGAGTTACATAATAATAAAATTAAAAGTAAAAGAACTAACATCATATCAATAGCAGGCTGAGTGGAGATGGTTCGAGTTTAAAAGTTTAAAATGATGGAGTGACACCAGCAAGTGAAGCTTTAGAGTTTCTGCAATGTACTCCAGTCACTAAAAGCAGATTTTCTCAGTTCAGTAAAAACTGTAAGAACATGACAGGTGATCCAGTCACAAGAGCGATTAAAAGAGCTGAATATTTTCTGCAATTCCTGAGGATCTTAAGAAATGCCATTACATGTAAATTATTTAGTGCCCCCTGTGGCAGCCCCTAAAACATGTTATTAGGCCAGGCCTGTTCACATTTTTTGTGATCAAGTTTTTATTTGTTTTTATCTTTTCGATCAAGACATTTCAGTACAAAACTATGTACATATCAAGGGTGTGTCCAAAAAAAGACTCACATGAGACTTGGTCTACCTTGAGTAGAGAAAGTACAGGACAGATGATCCATACCTTCCTAACACAGCCGACGGCCTACAGACATTGGAGCACAGTATTCTCAAGTATCCCTGCACCCACAAGCCTCCAATCATACGCCACACCCTATGCCTTAGAGCTTTTATCCAGAGTTTTGAGGCCTGTTCATATTTTATACTACATATATGCAATCAGGCTATGAGTTTGTGAGAGTGACACAGTGGATTATTTTTGGTTAGCTGTTCCAACATAAACCGATTTCTTATTCCTTCCACAACTCAAAGCTGTCACTTTGAAGCAGTGGGTTTCTTCCGTCAGTTACAGCACTGTTACAGTGTACACGTGTGTTTATATGTTTTTATGTATAGCCATAGTCTGGGTTTGCTATGGAGAGAAAGTATATGTCCTTTCACATGTGTTTTCTTCTATTCTCCAACATGTGTTATTCTTTTCTTGTGTCAGCTGTATTTACTTACAGTTGTATGTCCTTTTGTTTTTGTCCCTCCTGAGGTGAGGACATTGCCTCTTGTAACCTTGACCCCTTCACCTTCTCTTCTAACTTTTCATCCTTCCTCCTTTCAACGTCTTCCCTTCTCTATTTGTTCCCTCCCCTGACCCTCAGTATCTCTACCTAAACCATGTCAGACTGTATGTTCATTGGACTGGTGACAGACCGATGACCAAGCTGTGTCTGTGCATGATTCTCTGCAAACATGTGAATAAACCTCGAGATCTGAAGATCCAGTCTCCTGACTCTTCCTGATGAATTTCTAACACTATGTGCTAAGGCTGCTAGGCTCACCACAATGCTGAAATAGCAGCACACTGATCATGATGTTCAGATCTTTTTTTTTTTTTTGGAAAAAGACTTTTTGAGCAAAGTCTTTTACCTTCTAAAAAAGAAATTAAATTTCAAATAAATTACAACTAATATATTGTAAAACTATTTAAAGAATGTGGGTGTAAATAGTTTGTGAATCATTTCCTTAGGAAATGTACTTCTTTGACTTTTTTAAAAGCAAAGCTATCAACTGTGTCTTCAAATCTATTTTTAAACTAAAGTATGTTTAAGTTTCAGTGCAAAAACATTTCACTACACAACTAAATTTAGAGTCGTTTCATGTAGTCTGTGATCATTACTTAGCCTAGCACAGCACATGATAAATACTAGCCATTACATTAATGTTTTTGAAAGTAATTACCATGAGCTTAATAGAGGAAACAAGAAAACTAACAAAACAACTAAAAAGTTAGTGTTCATTTTTACTGGTGTTTAGTCTAGTTTATTATAACAGAGAGAAATGAGAAAACATGACATGACAACTCACTACACATTCATTACAGGAATAGAGAGACAAACAACAGAAAAAACGATGTTAAGTTATTGATTTGCCAGTTCATTGATTCTTTCTTTAAGTTTTATTCATTTAGGATTTAATTCACAGAAAACTCACCTGAGTGTCTCCAGTTTACAGAATGAACTCTTCAGTCCAGCAGAGAGCAGCTCCACTCCTGAATCCTGCAAGTCATTGTTGCTGAGGTCCAGCTCTCTCAGGGAAGAGTTTGGTGATTGTAGGACTGATCCCAGATTTTCACAAGCTTTCGCACCAAGACTACAGATATGTAGTCTGAGAACAGGCGTTATAATGTAGTCAAAGAAGGATTTATGAATACAGTAACAAAACAGGTATATCATATTGTTTAGATAACATACTACAAATTCTTTGTGTATTTTTATATTACAGTCAGGGTTAGAGTGAGAGAAACAACAGAATTCCAAAATACTAAATAATTCTCTTCATATTTTAGGTTAACATTTTATAGTATCTTATCAGTTTATTTCCATTCAAGAATTAATTCTCAGGAAGTTCACCTGAGTCTCTCCAGTTTACAGTGTGAGTTGTTCAGTCCAGCAGAGAGCAGCTCCACACCTGAATCCTGAAGGTCATTGTTACTCAGGTCTAGCTCTTTCAGAGATGAGTTGACAGATTGTAGAGCTGATGATAGATTCTCACAGGAATTTGTGGTGAGACCACACCCACCTAGTCTGGAAAAATCAGAATATAGTACATAGTGTAATCAGGAGAACTGTAATAGAATTACTTTACTCACCATATGCTACTTTGTCCTCACTTTCAGAAATAAGTAACCAAGACATTCATTGCTTCATTATTCATTCATGTGATCCCATTTAAAACAGAAAACACAGCTATTGTTTTTCATCTCTAAGTAGAAGTTCCTGTTTATGACCATAAAAAGCCCACAAAAATTCAGCCTATATATGATTTAATTAAACTTAGAACAGATCTTGCAAAATACTGAAAGAAGCATTTCTGAGTAAACCAAGTGAAAAAGTATATCACGGTTTTTCAGCAGCACCTTATACTTTTAGTGTGTTTTTATATTTCAAGGATGGCTAGAGAAAGAGATTCAGTAGAAGTCTAAAACCATGTGAAATGAATATTAAATATTGAGCATGAATCAGAACATACTAGTTCAGCTCTGCAGCCCGGCAACAGGCTGCCACACAACCATAAGCAGCCAAGCCCATGCTTGACAGATGGCAAAAAGATCTTTTATCTGCTTATTTATTTTTTATTTATTTCCAAATATGAAGTTCAATTACATTTTACATTTACAGTTATGTCTCTTTTACCTTTCTGATGACTCTTCCACGTATATGATGTTTGTGCAAAAACGCTGCACAAACTAGGAGGACTAGCATCACTATTTCCAGGCAAATCTTCCTGTAGGTCCTTGGCAGTGATGTAGGGATTTTACTCTGCGTACCTGACTATTTCTCAGGATCTTTCCAATCTTGAATTTACTTTAGAAGTGTTTAATGTCTTTTCCTTAATGGCATTTCAGACAGTACAAATTACAAGCAGGAAGCCATACTTAGCATGACCCCTCCCCTAACACTATAACTCTATAGTGTTAGCAGGACCCCTCCCCTAACACTATAACCTCTCCCCTAACACTATAGGGGTATAAAAGTAGAGCCACACTTAGAGTGACCCCTCCAGTAACACTACAACGGTGTAAAACTAGAGCTACATTTAGCGTGTCCCATCCCCTAACACTTTAACGCCACAAAATTAGAGCCATACTTAGCGTGACCCCTCCCCTCACACTATAACACTAGAAAACTAGAGCCATACTTAGCGTGACCCCTCCCCTGACAGTATAACGGTATAAAAACGAGAGCCACACTTAGCTTGACACCTCACCTAACACTATAATGATATAAAACTAGAGCGATATTTAGCGCGACCCTTCCCCTAACACTATAACGGTATAAAACTAGGCCCACACTTAGCGTGATCCCTCCCCTAAAACTTTAACGGTATAAAAACTAGAGGCATACTTAGCGTGACGCCTTGCCTAACACAATAACGCTATAAAAACTAGAGCCATACTTAGCGTGACCCCTCCCCTAACAGTATAACACTATAAAACTAGAGCCATACTTAGCGTGACCCCTCCCCTAACACTATAACGCTATAAAAACTAGAGCCATACTTAGCGTGATCCCTCCCCTAACATTATAATGGTATAAAACTAGAACAATACTTAGCGTGACCCCTCCCCTAACACTATAACGCTGTAAAACTAGAGTCATACTTAGCGTGACCCCTCCTCTAACACTAAACCCTATAAAACTAGAGCCATGCCTAACGTGACCCCTCCCCTAACACTATAACAGTATAAAAACTAGAGCCATACTTAGCATGACCCTCCCCCCACCACTATAACAGTATAAAACTAGAGCCATACTTAGCGTGACCCCTCTCCTAACACTTTACCGGTATAAAAACTAGAGTCATACTTAGCGTGACCCCTCCTCTAACACTAAACATTATAAATCTAGAGCCATGCTTAGTGTGACCCCTCCCCTAACACTATAACACTATAAAAACTAGAGCCATACTTAGCGTGACCCCTCCTCTCACAGTACTTAGTGTGACCCATCCCCTAACACTATAACACTGTAAAACTAGAGCCATACTTAGCATGACCCCTCCCCTAACACTATAACGCTGTAAAACTAGAGCCATACTTAGAGTGACCCCTCTCCTAACACTATAACAGTATAAAAACTAGAGCCATACTTAGTGTGACCCCTCTCCTAACACTACAACGCTATAAAACTAGAGCCATACTTAGCGTGACCCCTCCCCTAACACTATAACACTAGAAAACTCGAGTCGTACTTAGCGTGACCCCTCCCCTAACACTACAACGCTATAAAACTAGAGCCATACTTAGTGTGACCCCTCCCCTAACACTATAACACTGTAAAACTAGAGCCAAACTTAGCGTGACCCCTCCCCTAACAGTATAACACTATAAAACTAGAGCCAAACTTAGCGTGACCCTTCCCCTAACACTATAGCGGTATAAAAACTAGAGCCATACTTAGCGTGACCCCTCCTCTCACAGTACTTAACGTGTCCCATCCCCTAACACTATAAAACTAGAGCCATACTTAGCGTGACCCCTCCCCTAACACTATAACACTAGAAAACTAGAGCCATACTTAGCGTGACCCCTCCCCCAACACTATAAAGCTGTAAAACTAGAGCCATACTTAGCGTGACCCCTCTCCTAACACTATAACAGTATAAAAACTAGAGCCATACTTAGTGTGACCCCTCTCCTAACACTATAACGGTATAAAACAAGAGCCATACTTTGCGTGACCCCTCTCCTAACACTATAACGCTGTAAAACTAGAGCCATACTTAGCGTGACCCCTCCCCTAACACTATAACACTAGAAAACTCGAGTCGTACTTAGCGTGACCCCTCCCCTAACACTACAACGCTATAAAACTAGAGCCATACTTAGTGTGACCCCTCCCCTAACACTATAACACTGTAAAACTAGAGCCAAACTTAGCGTGACCCCTCCCCTAACAGTATAACACTGTAAAACTAGAGCCAAACTTAGCGTGACCCTTCCCCTAACACTATGAGGCTATAAAACTAGAGCCATACTTAGCATGACCCCTCCCCTAACAGTATAACGCTATAAAACTAGAGCCATACTTAGCGTGACCCCTCCCCTAACACTATAGCGGTATAAAAACTAGAGCCATACTTAGCGTGACCCCTCCTCTCACAGTGCTTAACGTGACCCATCCCCTAACACTATAAAACTAGAGCCATACTTCGTGTGACCCCTCCCCTAACACTATAACACTGTAAAACTAGAGCCATACTTAGCATGACCCCTCCCCCAACACTATAATGCTGTAAAACTAGAGCCATACTTAGCGTGACCCCTCTCCTAACACTATAACAGTATAAAAACTAGAGCCATACTTAGTGTGACCCCTCTCCTAACACTATAACGGTATAAAACAAGAGCCATACTTTGCGTGACCCCTCTCCTAACACTATAACGCTGTAAAACTAGAGCCATACTTAGCGTGACCCCTCCCCTAACACTATAACACTAGAAAACTCGAGTTGTACTTAGCGTGACCCCTCCCCTAACACTGCAACGCTATAAAACTAGAGCCATACTTAGTGTGACCCCTCCCCTAACACTATAACACTGTAAAACTAGAGCCAAACTTAGCGTGACCCCTCCCCTAACAGTATAACACTGTAAAACTAGAGCCAAACTTAGCGTGACCCTTCCCCTAACACTATGAGGCTATAAAACTAGAGCCATACTTAGCATGACCCCTCCCCTAACAGTATAACGCTATAAAACTAGAGCCATACTTAGCGTGACCCCTCCCCTAACACTATAGCGGTATAAAAACTAGAGCCATACTTAGCGTGACCCCTCCTCTCACAGTACTTAACGTGTCCCATCCCCTAACACTATAAAACTAGAGCCATACTTCGCGTGACCCCTCCCCTAACACTATAACACTAGAAAACTAGAGCCATACTTAGCGTGACCCCTCCCCCAATACTATAATGCTGTAAAACTAGAGCCATACTTAGCGTGACCCCTCTCCTAACACTATAACAGTATAAAAACTAGAGCCATACTCAGTGTGACCCCTCTCCTAACACTATAACGGTATAAAACAAGAGCCATACTTTGCGTGACCCCTCTCCTAACACTATAACGCTGTAAAACTAGAGCCATACTTAGCGTGACCCCTCCCCTAACACTATAACACTAGAAAACTCGAGTCGTACTTAGCGTGACCCCTCCCCTAACACTACAACGCTATAAAACTAGAGCCATACTTAGTGTGACCCCTCCCCTAACACTATAACACTGTAAAACTAGAGCCAAACTTAGCGTGACCCCTCCCCTAACAGTATAACACTGTAAAACTAGAGCCAAACTTAGCGTGACCCTTCCCCTAACACTATGAGGCTATAAAACTAGAGCCATACTTAGCATGACCCCTCCCCTAACAGTATAACGCTATAAAACTAGAGCCATACTTAGCATGACCCCTCCCCTAACACTATAGCGGTATAAAAACTAGAGCCATACTTAGCGTGACCCCTCCTCTCACAGTACTTAACGTGACCCATCCCCTAACACTATAAAACTAGAGCCATACTTCGTGTGACCCCTCCCCTAACACTATAACACTAGAAAACTAGAGCCATACTTAGCGTGATCCCTCCCCTAACACTATAATGCTGTAAAACTAGAGCCATACTTAGCGTGACCCCTCCCCTAACACCATAACGCTGTAAAACTAGGGCCATACTTAGCGTGACCCCTCCCCCAACACTATAACGCTATAAAAACTAGAGCCATACTTAGCGTGACCTCTATCTTAACACTATAACACTATAAAAACTAGAGCCATACTTAGCGTGACCCCTCCTCTCACAGTACTTAGCATGACCCATCCCCTAACACTATAACACTATAAAACTAGAGCCATACTTAGCGTGACCCCTCCCCTAACACTATAACACTAGAAAACTAGAGCCATACTTAGCATGACCCCTCCCCTAACACTATAACGCTGTAAAACTAGAGCCATACTTAGCGTGACCCCTCCCCTAACACTATAACGCTGTAAAACTAGAGCCATACTTAGCATGACCCCTCCCCTAACACTATAACGCTATAAAAACTAGAACCATACTTAGCGTTACCCCTCCCCTAACACTATAACATGTGACATGTAATTGAACTGTTTAATTAATGATTGTTTTATGCTTTTAGTAGGAAATGTGAAGTATGTAAAAAGCAGATCTTAAGTAATCAGCTCGAGCCATGTCTATTATAAAAGTCCTCCTGTGTAATTCTACACAGTTGAAGGTGTTTAGAGTAAAACATGACTTGAACTTTATTTAAGAATTCTATTTACTGTTGGTATAATAATAATATGGTTAATTGAAGAACATGTAAATTAGCCTTGTTTTATATAACATATAATTATTTTTTCTAGATAATGGTATCCAAATAAGCTACTGTTCAACACTGCTTATTCAAGATTTTCTCAGTTATATGTTTTATCAAAATGTTCAAATACTTACAGTGTAAATGTAATCAGTTATAATTAATAAATCGAATAATTCCATGCTTATTGTTCGTAAAACTGAAGAGTTCTATCACAATGTCACTATCACTGTATACCACAGTAAGCAAGCAAGCAAGCAAGCAAAGTTTATTTATATAGCGCTTTTTACAACAGGTGTTGTCACAAAGCAGCTTTACAAGGAAATCAGCATTACAGAAAGAAATCCGGGTCCAAGCCCCCATGAGCAAGCCAGAGGCGACAGTGGCAAGGAAAAACTCCCTAAGAGAAACAGGAAGGAACCTTGAGAGGAACCAAGACTCAGAAGGGGAACCCATCCTCCTCTGGTCGACACCAGATAGCAAACATTGTTAGTATAAAGTATTATAGTACAAAAACAGGGAAAACAGGTGGAGCAAATGATTAATTTGATTAGTTTAGTTTATGCAGCAGCAGCGGCAGCAGCAGCAGCAGTAGCATCAGTGGGGTCAGGTTGTGAGGGTGAGGTTTGCACGGCGAGCAGTGGCACCCGATCAAGGCAGAAGAGGCAGCAGCATCAGAACGCACAGGATGGGCATCTGTTTAACTCGGCAAAGAAAAGAAAGAAAGGAAAAACACACAGAGAGTCAGTTCTATTATGGGTGATTGATTAATTTGATTAGTTTAAATGATTGATTAGTTCAAATAATTAATTTTGATTAGTTTAGTTCATGCAGCAACAGCAGCAGCATCAGTGGGGTCAGGTTGTGAGGGTGAGGTTTGCACGGCGTTGTACAGCAGGAGGCTCAATGGTGGTAAGCCGGTCCAGAGGGCTGGCGAGCAGTGGCACCCGATCAAGGCAGAAGAGGCAGCAGCATCAGAACGCACAGGATGGGCAGCTTGTTCAACTCGGCAAAGAAAAGAAAGGAAAAACACACAGAGAGTCAGTTCTGTAATGGGTGACTCATCACAAATTACAGTGTTAGCAGAGCAGCAGTGACTCTGGCAGGTATATGACTGACAGGGAAAACTAATTACCAAAGGCTTGACTATACAAGTAAGTTTTTAGCTTAGACTTAAACACTGAGGCTGTGTCTGAGTCCCGAACATTAACAGGAAGATTATTCCAAAGCTGGGGGGCTTTGTATGAGAAAGCTCTCCCCCCTGACGTAACTTTATTATTTCTAGGTACTAATAGAAAGCCAGCACCTTGTGATCTAAGTAGGCGTGATGGTTCATAGTGAGAGAGAAGTTCACTAAGGTACTGAGGGGTGAGTCCGTTTAGCGCTTTGTAAGTCAGTAAGAGAATTTTATAATCAATGCGAAATTTAACTGGTAACCAGTGGAAGGTTGATAAAACTGGGCTGATATGGTCAAACTTTCTGGTTCTAGTAAGAACTCTGGCTGCAGCGTTCTGGAGTAGCTGAAGCTTGTTAAGGCAACTGTTTTACTGACAATATAACTGACAATATAACAATCAGTCCTAACTCCAAAAATAGGGGTTTCTAATAAAGTGGCCAAGCAGTGAACCTGCAGCTCTTCATAATAACTAAAACTATAATAACTAAAATTAATTTTTTATTGTCTAATTGAAGATCTACTTTAGAACTAATGTGTTCAGCCCTAATCAATCATCAATAATCCAATATTAATCTGTTGTATTAATGTAGATGTAACACTCACCGAGCTTTTCTGCATACAGTCAGAGCTGGGATCAGTCTCCTATAACCCTCCTCTGATGTGTTGTATTTCTTCAGGTCCAATTCATCCAGAACCTCCTCTGAGTTCAGGATCATATAGGCTAGTGCTGAACACTGTCCAGGAGAGAGCTCCTCCTCTGAGTGTCTCTCTGATTTTAGATACTCCCGAATCTCTCTGGAGAGAGACTGGTCTTTCATTTCAGACAGACAGAGGAACAGATTGATGGATCTCTCAGTGGAGATGATGGATCTCTTAGAGTAGATGTCATATTGTTCACCATCTCCTTTGATTAACCTCTTGATGTGCTCTGTAGTTCTCTCTGAGCTGCTCTGTGTTGGGGTCAGTAGACCCTGTAGGCGTCTCTGATTGGACTCCAGTGAGATGCCCAACAGGAAACGGAGGAAAAGATCCAGGTGTCCATTTTGACTCTCTACAGCTTTATTTACTGCTCCCTTCAGAACCTCATCCAGAGGAACTTTCTCAGATCTCTTTTTCTGTTGGTTAAATAACCTTACTAGAACATTCTCAGGTCTCTTTTTCTGTTGGTTAAATAACCTTACTAGAACATTCTCAGGTCTCTTTTTCTGTTGGTTAAAGAAACTTACTTGAACATTCTCAGACCACTCACTGCTTAGTGAGTTAAATATCTGCAGTTCCTCCATGTTTTTGCTCTCATAGCAGTGAAACACATAAACAGCAGCCAGGAACTCCTGAAAGCTCAGATGAACAAAGCAGTAGACCTTCCTCTGGTAAAGCACACATTCCTCCCTAAAGATCTCAGCGAAAATCCCAGAATACACTGAGGCCTCAGTGACATCAATGCTGCTCTCTCTCAGGTCCTCTTCATAGAACATCGCATTGCCCTTCATTAGCTGTTTGAAAGCCAGTTCAGCCAGTTTCAGAAGAATGGTTCTGTTGGACTCCAGCAGGTTCTTTGGGTTTCTCCTCTTTTTCTTCTCATACTTCTCGTTCTTCATGTTTGTCTGAGTGAGCAGGAAGTGTGAGTACATTTCAGTCAGAGTTTTAGGGATTTCTGTATGATGCTGTTTCATGATTTGCTGAAGAACAGTGGCTGAGATCCAGCAGAAGACTGGAATGTGGCACATGATGTGGAGGCTCCTCGCTCTCTTAATGTGTGAGATGATTCTCTTGGCTTGGTCTTCATCACTGATCCTCTTCCTGAAGTACTCCTCCTTCTGTGGGTCACTGAATCCCTGAATTTCTGTCACACGCTTGATGCATTTAGGAGGGATCGGATTGGCTGCTGCTGGTCGGGAGGTTATCCAGATGTGAACAGAGGGAAGTAGCTCTCCTTTTGATGAGGTTGGTCATCAACACACCCACTGATGATGTCATGGTGATGTCAGATACTTTCTCACACTGTTCAAAGTTCAGTGGAATTCTACTTTCATCCAGACCATCAAATATAAACACAGCTTTGAGCTGATCATAAATCTTTGGGTCCAGATCTTTGAGCTCAGGATGGAAGTCACACAGAAGTCCATGAAGACTGTATTGATCATCTTTAATCAGGTTCAACTCCCGGAACGGAAGCACAAACATGAGCTCTACATCCTGATTGGCTTTTCCTTCAGCCCAGTCCAGAATGAACTTCTGCACAGAGACAGTTTTTCCAATTCCAGCGATGCCTTTAGTCAGAACACTTCTGAGCTCTGGCTCTTTTGGTCTGTTATCTTCTTTTCTTTCTTTGTGTCTGAGACTGTCAGCCTTCACAGCTCTAATGTTCTCTTCTAGTGTTTCTCCTTCAGGACCTTGTAGAGGTTTAAAGATATCTAAGCAGTTGATTGGAGAGTCTTGTAAGCGTCTTCTGGATGTTTTCTCCATCTGTAGAACCTCATGTTCTTCATTCACTCCTTCACTCTCTCCCTCTATGATGTAGAGCTGTGTGTAAATCCTGTTCAGGAGGGTTTTATTCTCTTCTGTTCTGATTCCCTCAAATAAGCTCTCGTACTTGTTCTTCATGCTGGTTTTGTGTCTCTCTAAGACTCTGTGAAGGACATCATCATCCACTGGTTGGTGAATATCTGCCAGAGTGTTTGTCTGCAGTGCTGTTTGTGTGGAGTGCTGCCTAATCAGGACCAAACACAGTAACATAAACATCATTAACACAAATACCCATAATAACCTTCTGATAATTTATTTAATTAGATTTGTGCTATTATTTTACCTCAGATTCCCACGATAACTTTACATGTTGTGCTTTTGATTTCTACAAAACTAACAATTATAAATATTCCCAGACGATAATGTAACAATATAATATAAAATATATATCATTATAAATATATAATATTCATCGAGATTAAACTGGGTTTTAAATATTGTAGAATTAGTTATTAATAGTTAAACGTTCACTAACCCACACTGTGATCTGAGCAGCAGTCAGTCAGAATCAAACCTGTACTGAGGCATGTGGCACTGTTTGGGTCTAACTAAGCTGATATTAAGTTAGCCAGTTAGACTCTGCAGACATCTTAATGACATAAATCTCAGGGTACAGTGAAAATAACCAACCTGTTTGTAGAAGCTGCTCAGCAAATTGTTTTTGAGCATGTTGAAAGTGACATTATTGTTATTATTTATTATTATTATTATTATTATTATTATTATTATTTAACAACACAATCTAAATAAAGCATAAATCAAATTAAAGTAATGCATTCATGAATAAATAAATTAATAAAAATTCAAAATAAATGGAAATATGTAAAAACAATAAATTCCTGAAAAACAAAGTTTATAAAAATGTCATTACTCAATTTACATTTTGTACTGTGATTTTCTGCCGCTACTGTTAAATTGTTTTTGTTGCAATAAACATCATCAAATATTGTTAGTAATTATTGGTTAACATAAGTCTCTAAATGAATGGAAGTAAATGTGGAGCTTCTCTGAAATGAACATTTCACACTTGAGGCACTCATGTCTATGAACTGGAAGAGCAAATGGTGAGGGCTTGAAGTAAAACAGCTCCCCCTTCTGGATGTTTACAAACATAAGCTAATAACTTCCTTTCACCTTCTTTAAACCTAATAATCAAAGCATATCTGTTTGTTTTCTTATAGACCTTACAGATTAAAACAGCATGTAGAGCTGGTTTAATGAACCATTAGTCACAAAAATTCTTCTGGTTGTAAAACTCACATATATACTTTATATTTGCACTTATACAGACTGTAACCTAGACTGTACTTATCCATGTTTGTCTGCACTGAAAAAAGCAAAGTAAGTTACACATATCTGTTAAAAACTTGAAAAAATTGATCACAAGAAAAAAATTCTTCTGGTTTAAATGAACTGACTATAACTAAACTCATGATACATGCATGTGTTTCATGACCCCACATACACACAGCACCACTGCATAGACAGACCCCAGGTTAAGAGCAGGTCATTGACCCTCTCCTGTGAGTGATACCCTGATGTCCTGCAAGAGCCCAGACAGCACCAACTCACCCCATTAGGACCCTGTTAAATACTAGTAAGACTCAAACTCAGACAGTCGTTTGTCCAGAGCCCAGCGGTGTGTCTCTGAGGAGCGACTGGTCCATGATGGAGCTATTTGGTCTTAATAAATTTTGTAAGAAAATCTTGTTTAACAGTGGGTGAATAAGTATGTGATATATAAATTCAGAAGGTAAATAAGAGTCAGTAATGTTTCTGTTTTTGTGGGTCACAGGACTGAATGCTCAGGCATGGACCATCACTCTTCACAGACACCCAGCTGGACACTGGAGAAACGGCTCTCTGGGTTTCAGTCCTGCTAATATTAAATATGTAAAAAACTCCAGCCTTTATAAACTGATCTACAGCCCAGAGCTCAGATACATGTTTACAATTATTCACTGTCAGAGCTGCTGTTCACTGGTAGCAGTTATTTACCCTGAGTCAGAGGATCCTCTCCCTCCACTGGACTGTGCTGGTAACATCATGGACCGGTCACTCTTCATAGACACACAGCTGGGTTCTCCTCCACTGCTGAACAAAGGAGGGTTCCCCATGGACCAGTCACTCTTCACAGACACACAGCTGGGTTCTCCTCCTCCTCTGCTGAATGCAGGAATGTTCCCCATGGACCGGTCACTCTTCATAGACACACAGCTGGGTTCTCCTCCTCCTCTGCTGAATAAAGGAGGGTTTCCCATAGACCAGTCACTCTTCACAGACACACAGCTGTGTTCTCCTCCTCCTCTGCTGAATAAAGGAGGGTTCCCCATGGACCAGTCACTCTTCACAGACACATAGCTGGGTTCTGGAGATCCTGCACGCTTCACTCTGAGAAAAGTTAAGATTTAAATCACAGTGATATTAAAGTGCTGAGTAATTATGTTCTTTTAGACTCATTTAGTCTGATCATAAATCACAATGTCCTCTTTCTGTTTAATCAGGTTAAGAGCTGATTCGAAGTTACTCACTTTGAATCAGAGGTTCTTCCTCCATTGCTGGAGTGATGAAGCTCCATCACTGAGGTTTTACTCTCCACACACAGCTGGACACTGGAGATGCTGCTCTCTGTGAACACATCATTAATGTAACATGAAATAATACCTGGATAATAAATATAACAGATATAACATTTAACATATGAAACTAAATGTGATTTTACTAGATTCTACTAAATAACTAATTGTCTTGGGCAATGGATGTTTTTATTAAAAATAATCCAGCACTATCCACTCCTACAGAGGTGGCAGAAGCAGACAAGAATCTACTGACACCATCACATCTCCTGCTGCTCCACAATCTTAATTAATCATAATCAATCATTATATGATCTGCAGTGAAGGCTGTGTAGAGCTCAGACTGTCCATCACAGAGAACTGCACACTAGAGGGTTTTCTATCACTTTATACATGAATTCTGAGATTGGACATACATTCTGGTAAAAGCCAAATAAAAACACCTAAATATTCTAAAAGATGATTTTTCATTTAACTGAGCTGAACAAAGTCTATTAATACAGATGAGATGTGATACAGGGTGGTGGAAACAGAGCGTTGAAAAAACAATGACGTTGTGGAGACGTAAATCTCATATTTCAGCTTCATCTGATCACCATAATAATAAAATGTGTCTGTGTAATATTGATCCAGAATTGTGTGGTCATTCTCAGGTGGACGGTGTTGGAGTGGAACAGTAATCTGATTTCTCAGTAAATGGTCCATCACTCTGAGCTGCTGTAGTTCAGCCGTGTACAGATGACCACTCTACTCAGAGCTAATACAGGCTCAGACTCTCCATTAGGCTCCTCTTTAGTTACACAGGACTAATCCTGCTATGGCATCTTCAGGATCTTCATATAAGAGTAGCTGATGGAAACACTCAGAGACTGATGAACTGAGCTTTTAATAAACTGTATTTACTGATAGAATCTCAGTATAAACAGACAGTAGAACTGATCACCTCTATAATCCTGATAATCATTATCAATAATGTTACTGTCTCTCTCTGATCTCTCAGTTCATTACTAATAAACTGTATTTACTGATAGAATCTCAGTATACACAGACAGTAGAACTGATCACCTCTATAATCCTGATAATCATCATCAATAATGTGTCTGAGGTCTGATGTTATCTAGATGAAAGGGGTTCCAGGTGTGGAACCGAAGATCCGCTCTTCATGTTCTGTAGAATCACAGCTCTGCACAGGTTACTCTGCTCTACCTGCTGAGGTTAATCAGGTGAGGAACACCTCACTGCACCATTCATACTGTAAACTCTCTTTACCTCAGTAGAAATGTCCTCCTCTCTGAATCTTCATGGTGGATCACTGACTCTTCATGGACTCATAGCTGAGATCAGGTGAGTCTGGTCTCTCTGAATCAGACTGAAACAGAACAATGGAGGAAAATCATACTGGACACATATGTGCAGAAAATATGATAATATGCATTGTGGAGTTAAAATTAATTACGGCGGATGAACGAGTGATCTACAGCTCAACTACAGCACAAACAAACGAGTCACCCACAGTTCAACTACAGCACGAACGAACAAACGAGTCACCCACAGCTCAACTATAGCACAAATGAACGAGTCATCCACAGCTCAACTACAGCACAAATGAACGAGTCACCCACAGCTCAACTACAGCATGAACGAACAAACGAGTCACCCACAGCTCAACTACGGCACAAATGAACGAGTCACCCACAGCTCAACTACAGCATGAACGAACAAACGAGTCACCCACAGCTCAACTACAGCACGAACGAACAAACGAGTCACCCACAGCTCAACTACAGTACGAACGAACAAACGAGTCACCCACAGCTCAATTACAGTACGACCGAGTCACCCAGCTGTTAGCGTCTTTTCTCCAGAATAAAAGTCTTTAAGAAGCTCATTCTGAACTATTTATAACGAAAACGTGATGATTTACATAAATTAAAGACTCCTCACAGAAAGAAGCTCTGATGCTCTAAAAGCTCCAACATTTCTCTGGGTTTATTGGCTACCTGAGCATTAGCTTAGCTTAGCTTCAGTTACCTGACTTTATCAAACAGACCATTTCAGCAGAACCTAAAACAGAACCCAGCAGCTGTTCCTCTCAGATTAGTGTGGTTCTCATTGTTCTCCTCAGTAAACTGTGAGTGTTGATCTTCGGTAATTACCTCTGAGCTTTTCTCTGTTTGATCTTCTCTTCTCTGAACAGACGCTGCTCCACTTTCACTTTCACTCTAAACCGCTTTGATCCCATTCAGCTCCTCCTCAACTCGGCGCGCACCAACCAACGCTCAGCAGCTCTGAACTACGGAAAGAGAAAAGGTTCAAAACACGTTTGTAGGGCCGCGTGTGTTCATCCAATCAGCCACGAGCAGCACAGAAAGGATTGATCAGTATGATTGATTAACCTTTAGTGGGATTACAATAATGTATTTCACTGAATCTCAATGATGCCGTGTTTATCTGAGTGTTGAGTTATTTTATCAAATAAATAAATAAATAAATAAATAGCAGATTTCTGTCTGATTAAGAATGAGGTTCATAATAATCCCTGCTTTATTGTCTAACTCCAGCGTGTCATCACTGATCTGTTGTTGGGGTCATACAGACTGAAGGATGGTCTATATGCCATGTACAGCTAAGAGACGCTCCATAATGGACACCGAAACACACACCATGGCGGAGGAGCGCTGTTACTGACTCTGTTAGACTCCATCAGTAATTAGAGTCAGAGTCAGCCTCATTCTGATCAGCTCAGAATGAGAAACACTGCTAGCAGCTAATTATGAATAATAAGATCAGATTTTAATATTAGAAACTGATCTGGAAAATTCTAAATATGTAAATATCTGTAAAAATACAGAGAACCTCAAACAGATTATTATACCATTAATTTCAGAGAATTAAATTAAAATAATCAGTTTTTAAAATAGTTTATATTTGTCCATATCTTTATATTTAGATTTGTGTATATCAGAGAGAAATATAAGAAACAGAGAATAATAATATAATATAATAATAATAATAATAATAATAATAATGACATCATTAACTCAGTGCTCTTTAAAGGTCCAGCACATCTTCATATTTCTGATTCAGTCCAACTTTTACTGACAAAAAGATTCTTAAAGTCTCACTTACAAAATTCTGTTTCTTTAAACACAATGAGTTTTTAGATTGTTTAGATTCATTTAAGATTAATCTAAATAATGTAATTCTTAAGATGATTTAAATTAATTTAAGATGAATCTAAATAATGCAATTCTTAAGATTATTTAGATTAATTTAAGATGAATCTAAATAATGTAATTCTAAAGATGATTTAGATTAATTTAAGATGAATCTAAATAGTTATTCTTAAAATTATTAAGATTAATTTAAATAAACGAATGCAACACAGAAATGTTAGAATTTTCAAAATCCAGTTCATATTTTTAATTATTTTATAATTTAATTTAATAATTTAAAATAATTAAAATTTATTTAATTATTATTTAATTAATTTGCATATAATTTTATGTCACTGCAAATCAGCGAATAAGGCCTGTAGCTGCTTCATTCTAGTGGATCTTTCTCTTTTTTTAAAGCAGAGATATCAATTGTGTGTTCTGATCCCCGTGAAAAGATCTGTTTCCTGTTGCAGAAACAAAAGAGTTTTGAATCAAAGGCCCCACCGACTCCCATAAAGCTAGATATAGATCAGGAGGAATACCATCTAACCTTGGGGTCTTCCCCCTCTGTTTGTGAGACTCTTCTGGAGCTGTGACTGGTCCATGACACCCCACAACAACAACTCATCATATGTTCAAAAAACATTTCTTAGAAGTATCAAAATTGAAGGCCAAATGCTGATGTAGGATCTGAAAGCTGGTGGTTAAGCATTTATTGCCCCTTCCATTTAGAAAAGAAGCCAAGACTTCTGAGGGCTGAAGATCACAGTCAGACAATATTGGTGTTCAGCCTTGTCCCTATACACAGAGATTTCTCTGGATTTTCTGAATCTTTTACTGATATTGGGTACAGTAGATGATGAAATCCCAAAGTTCTTTGCTATTTTACTCTGAGAAACATTAGTTTTGCATTTTTTTCACTATTTGCCTGAACAGTCTTTCACAGAGTGCTGAACCCCTCCTCATCTTTACTTCTGAAAGACTCTCTGAGATTCCCCTTTTTACCCAGTCATGTTACTGACCTGTTGCTAATTGATCTAATTAATGATGAGATGACATTTGATATGTTGTCTTTGTCTTATTTTCAGTTAAATACGGGGTTTAATGATTTGCACATCACTGCATTGTTTCTGTTTGTGCTCCTCCTCACCATTTCAACTGTGTTGTAACTGACAGCCTTACTGTGGTCTGTATCATCTCATCCATGAGCATCTATTACTGAGCAACGTGTTCCAGAGAAACACACAGTTCACTCCTACCTGGCTGTTGTGCAGGTTTTCAACAGAAAAACAGTTTTTTCTTTTGCTTCTCGTTCTTTTACATCCCCTCATCCTGTGCTGCACTGGCTTCACCCTAAGGTTTGCTTTTGCTCCACGGCTGCTAAAGGGCTGTGAAAAGGTACTTGCCCCTTCCCGATTGTCACTATTCTTATGTATTTGTATGTAATATTAGACAAAAAGAACTTTTTGAAACAGAAAAAAATGATTTTTACTAATTATTTCATTTATTTTAGAACCAAAGTCATCTAACATGTGAATCACCCATGTGAAAAAGAAAATGGCCTTTAAAACTGATAACTTGTTTCAAGGCCTTTAGCAGCAATAACTGCAAACAACTTTCCTCTGATTCTTATCAGGAAATTTGAGCACACTCTTCTGTGCAGGGCTGCTTTAACTGAGACAGACTGGCAGCTTTTCAAGCATGAACCACCTGTTTGAGGCCCTGACACAGCATCTCTGCTGGGCTCAAGTTAGAGTTTTGACCAGGCCACTCCAAAACCTTTATGTCCTTTCAGCTTCAGCTCATGGACAGATGAGCTGATACTCTCTAAGAATTCTCTGATACAGAACAGAACTTCTCCATGTCTTCTTGTTTATTTAGTTATTTATTTGTGTTGTAAATGTGAGATGAATGGTGGTTTTGCTTAGCAGGGGTTTCTGCCTTGCTGCTCTTCCATGAATGTCACTGGTACCCACCCTCCTTCTTCCAGCAGAGTCATGAACACTGACCTTAACTGCAGCAGAGAACCTGCAGTTCCTTGGATGTTCTCTGGAACCTTTGGTGACTTCCTGGATGATCTGCCCTTGGAGAAATCCTGGCAGACTGACCACTCATAATAAGATTTATAGCTTGAGAGTGCCACACCTTTCAAAACAGCTCCATGCTTTGCCGAAGCTCCAGACTTCATAGTAATGTGAGAACAGTGACTTTGATACAGGCTTTGATTCAGTGTGAGAATCAGCGGGTTTTGAAAAAGTAAAGAAAGCTTTGACGCCTCGAAGTTTATATATTACAACTTTCCACAAAGCACAGCTTCAAAAGAAATGTGTTTTTAATTTTTTATTTTTTGAGCAGCAGAAACTGTTTTAATATAAACAAATAAGAAACAAAAAACAAACAGCACCCCTCAAAAACTACAGTATTACATACAGTACAATATTACATTTAAACAAAATAACGTTTTAACAGAGCACGTGGTACAGTAGTAGTGCATTATGGGAAGCTGTAAACGGTACATATACAGTTGTGAACCGCGCTCCGCTCATTTGTGTTGGACGGTCAGTAGGTAAGACCTGCGCTGCTGCTCTCTGTAACTCACCTCCACTTGAAGTCTGTCGGGTTCTCTGAACGACATCAGTGCAGAACCGAGCTGTGATTTTCAGCAGAACAGTCAGGATGGTTGATTCAGGAGATTCATGTCTGTCGTCTGTGGGAAAGAATTCATCACTAAACTAAACTCAGCCGCGCAGATTAAAGCCTTAGAGATCACCTGGAGTTTTTTACCCTGAATTTCCCGCGAAAACGGTTCACTCTTCTTACGAGGCTTGAGTTCAAATCCTTTTTGAATTGTCCGTTCCACCTTAAATGGTCAGCAGTCACAGCTTCGCGCCTCAGGCTTCTCAGTTAAATGTTCAGTTCCACCTTCAGTGATGCAGCAGTTAAACTGTGTCTCCTCAAACGGGCCCGAGGCGGCGGACTGTACCAGCTGCCCCGTTTAAGGTGGAGGGAATCTGGAGTAAGAAGTCCAGATTCAGCTCGGCGCTTGTTTTTTTTTCTGGTCATTTTGGCGCGGTTTGCAACGCTGAAGCGGAAGGCGGGAAAATCAGGGTGACTGCGCGCGCTTTAAGGCCTTAATCTGTGCGCGCGCGTGGTTATTTAATTCCCCGCAGTCCGAGATCAGCCTCCGTTTGTAGAAGCGCTGAGGAAGAGC